GCTGCTGTTGGTCTTGCAGGGCTTCTCCGTTCTTGCTCACATCTGGGACAGGAAAACAAAGATGCTGCTTTGACTGCCTGATTCGAAGCTCCTGCCAGTTTGAGGTGCCGACTAAAGTGCTCTTTGTACAAGGAGTGAGAGTACTGACGATGCACTTTAGCTATTGCACTGCGCAGCAATGTCGGCACTTCTTCCCAGCTTTGAAGCTCTTGTTCTTCTTCTTGTCGAAATATCACTTCTGAGCTTCTTTTGAGTGCGCTGTGATAAACATCAGCTTCATCCAAATAATACTTCACTTCTCCACATTGTTCTTCCAACATCACTTGTCGTTGAACGCCGTCCAGGATCATAACACCCAGTTGTGGAGTCCACTGTCCCAGTAAACTTGAGATGTTTCGTCCACCCTTCTGTCCTCGGCCTTGCACATGAGCATGATCATGGCTTTCATCACATCGTAGGCTCAAGGTCGAAGCGAGTACCGGGGATGATGTCACAAATCTGGTTGGCTTCAGTACATAGTCATCATTGACATCCTTCAAATCACTCATGCACTGATCCATTCGTGATGTGTAATGTGGAATATGTTCAACGCTTTCCAAGATGTACTTCCAGGCTTGACTCGCCAGCGGGTTTTCCAGCAAATAATGACGTCCACCTGCAATCTGAAGTTCACACACCTCTTTCACAAACTCTAAGTGATCCAAGGCGATTTCTTGTTGCAGCTTACGGACATCTTCATCCAGAAAATTGCTGAGAGGAGTCCACGGGTCACAGTTGAAACCCATGGTCACCAACCGTGGTTTCTCAATGCGAATCTCCTCAAGTACAGCCTGTCTGTCTTCTTTCTTGAGAAAGTTGTCACCCAAAAGAAGATCTCGAGGTTTGCCAAATGACATGTCATTGTCCTTGGCGAGGGCTGTGACAACTCCACCATCAGCACCACTGTAAAGTTCTTTCACCAACACCCTTTTCACATGCGACTTTGCACCTTTCCTCAATTCTTTCCATAGTGCTCGACCATGTGCTTTCGCTTCTTCGGCCATCTTTTGCACTTTCTTTCTCAACTTGCTCTTCATGATGCGTGTTGTCTCCACATTGAAGTCCTTCGCCTTCAATTGATGGAAAACTTCAACTGTCTCACCAGCAAGTCGGGTCTCCTTCTTCTTGTTCTTTGAATGCCCAATGTCCAGAAGCAAATGACCTCCTGAACCATAGTCCATCATGACTTTCTCCGATCCAATCGCCGTGAATTGAATCGTGGGCTTTGGCGTTGCTGTGAGATCAATCACTGCACCAAGTTCTCGCAATTGGGGAAGTCCCAGCAACAATGGCACATCTGAATTAGGAAGGTTGATGTTCCACGACCACCGGTGCGTCAGCATTGACACCTTTCAACACCTTGCTGGATTGCTGGAAAGATGTTTCACTTCCAAATTTTCCGATGAACTTGTCCAAGGTCCGGTCACCACCACAACCAATCAAGGCTGCTGTGTCCACAACACACATTCCAGCGGGGACCGTCTCGCGACTTGCATTGGCCATGAAGGTCAGGCTGTGGGGAATGGATGATGTCTCAACGTTCTGAGTCATGAATGCATCCACACTCAACCAAGGCACTTCTGTTGTCTCCTGCTCATAGTCCATCATGAAGGTGGGCATCTCAAATGCCTGAGGCTCGCACTCATCCTCCATCATCCTCAAACACGTCAAGGCATCCTGACATGATGACAGCAGTTGGCCTGATGCTGAGGCCAGCATGGCAGCAGCCATACCTGCACGTTGGAGAAATCCTCCTTTGCGACCTCCTTTCTTTCCCTTCTTGCCACCTTTTGAACTTCCGGCCGATGAACTTGAACCTTTTGGACACGTCTTATCCCCACGCCAATGTCCTTTCTGACCACAATCATAGCATTGCGTCCTTGCTTTGTAGTTGACCAGCGTTGAGGGTCAGCTTCCCATCCAGAGCAATGGCTGTCCGATTGTGTCCAATGGCATTGGGTTGAAATCCTCGATTTGTCTTGCCATCACGGACTGCTTGTCGTTTTCGAGCATATTCGGAAGCTCCTTTGCCCATCTTCTGAATGGTTGTTGCAAAGACATCAAGCTCATCAAATGAAAGATCATCCACCGTCATGACCTCGATGGCATGCTCCATCTCCTCGATGTCATACTGAAGCTCTTCCTCAATCTCATAAACTGGGATGTCATCTTCCACCAGTTCATCTTGCCAGTCATCAACTGCATAGATCTCTTCATTCTCTCCATCATAGCTCGACCATTCCTCCTCAATTGGGAATGCCCATGAGCGCTTACCACCTGGATTGTAATTGCTCTGCTGTCGTTGCTTGTATCCACCCTTCCAGCCTTTGCCTTGTGGCTCTTCACCTCCATCCAACTGAATGAGCATCGCTTCAACAATCTTGTCCCAATCATACTCATTTCCAGCTTGTCCAGGGATGGCCCGATGTTGTGAAGGGCTAACTCCTGCATTGCGAAGCAAGAAAAAGGCTTGGAGATCTGTCGACAGCTTGGTGTGGCCCTGAGTCAATGCCGAGAGCTTTTCATACTCACCTTCTCTCCGGCTAATGTAGTCTTGAATGCTTTCACCCAGCTTTCGGCGTCCTTTGTCGAAGAAGTAGTCCTCGAAGGTCTGGGTCTTCAGGAGCGGCGCCACCTTCTCACACGCTGACCTAACCGTCTTCACCACTAGTTGAACTGCAGCTTTAGGTCCAGCATTCGTTGAAGGTTCAGCTTCACTGATCTGCAAAAGCTTTTGAGCAGCGATCTCCGGCTTCCTGTGGCACAATGTCCATGCTCTGCCGTGCAAGGCGTTCTTCAACTTTGCCGCATAGCTTGCCTTTTCTTCCTTCTGCACCGTTTGAAATCCCAGCCAAACACGTTCTTCATATTCTTCTGCCAGCTTGGGGCTTCCATCATAGTGCACCACATTGCTCTTCGGGTCCACATACAATGAACTGCTCTGTTGCGACTGCATGTCAACAAAATGTCAACACAATGTCCACAAATCCGTGCAAAATTTCGTGAAACTGCGGTTGTCCAATCAAAATTTGCAAAATTGAATTCCGGCAACTGCTTCAGAGTTGAAGTTACCACCAACTCGAGAAAACAAGTTCCGGTAGGATAGAAACTCCAATCTTCCTCAGCCTGCCACCAACCAATGTCCAGCACGCTACGACCAAACAAAAGGTTCTGCTCCAGCGGGGTCACAGACCAGAAATCCCAATCTATGGCGCGCCAACTGAGGCTCTCGCTACCAGTGTCAAGTGCGCTAAGTGCCCACGCACACGGTTTTGCAACCGCGCGCACGAGGGGCTCAAGGCCTCCGGGATTTGAGCCGTAAGGGCCCATGGAATGTACCGGTTTGGTACACCTGCATGGTGTGAAAACGAGACATGGGTTGTCATGAGTCATCCTCTTCACAATATGTATATATATATATACATATACCTTGAGTGTATATATATTTTTACACACACTAGGTTTTTGAGCACCACGTTTGCTTCAATCTGCAGGGTCCACACATGCCCAATCCACAAACGGTCCTCGTTGAGCTGCATGTCGTAGTCGGACAGCTCGAAAGACACTGAACTGGAATGCATCAGATGACAGCACTCTCAGCAGTTGCAAATTGCAAATGAAAGTATCACTTATCACAAAAATTGGCAGGTCTTTGAACACGTCCGGTACACCAACAAATGTTATTAATCTAGTATTCCTCCTCTAAGTTTATGATCTGAATCATTGCAACTGCTGGGCTGATTCTGTCTGCACGCAAGTGCATTCCGCCAAGCCAATGCTGGATGCTCCGGCAACTGGAAAAATGTGTAATGTTGTTCAACTGTTGCTTCGTGGAGTCCAGCAAAGTAGTTTAGCAGTTTTCTGCTGGCAGCATCGCAGCAGTTGGCGTGGAGTTGCATTGCGCAGGCATCAGCCTTCAGTTCAGCATCAGCAAAGCACCACGCTTGAATCTCGCAGTGGCATCTGTAGTGCTATTCCACTATGCCTGCCGCGATGGCTTGCAAGTGAAGCCAAAGTCAGCGTCAGCTGGCGACTGTACACATCAAGCTACGTTCAAAGCAAACTGTATCAGTTGTTTGGAGGAAACCGATTGGGTCCATGTTCGGTGAATTGCCATTGTCCACTTTGTCGGCCAACGACGCAAACCTGTCACATTCAGGATTTGAGCTGAGTCCTGCCTTGTCCGGCAAGCCAACGCACCGAATTCCAAGTCAAATGAACTCAAGTGCACGAGTGATGTCACAAGTGCTGCTTTGCAGGGCTGGACCACCCTGGAGACTTATATAAATCATTCTTGTTCTTGAGGATTCACGGGCCAACACAAAAATCCCAAAGTATCTTGTATCTGTGTTAACAATCTTGACGCCTCGCGTTTCTGTACTTACAGAATGCATTCCACTCCCAGGTTGATGGGAGTAAATGCCTGAAATGAATATCTCCGCCCAGCACTTCAATGACTTGTTTCAGGAATACACACACGGCAATGCACAGTATCAAAGAAGTATGGAACTTCTGGTGACACAACAGTTTGCAATTTGCAACCACTTAAATTGGGGCGGATCTATTTGCAAGATACCCAGGGTCGACGAAGCTTTCAACAAGCTGCCCTGGCCCTGGCATTTTGCGAACGATGGGAACTTGGTCCCAAAACCTGGGGACAGTGAGAACATTACCTGTTCGGCTCAAGTGGGCCATTTGGCCGCAACAAGGTCCAACATACCCATGATCATCCCACATTGGTCCCTTGCACAAAAGCACAAACATACAAATCAAACGCACGTTGCATCAGTCATTTCAGAATATAAAACGGAAAGGGTAGATCGATTTGGCATCGCTCAATGCGTTTGAACAAAATGTAGTTGCCTAAATTGCACTCGATGTTTTTGGTGGCAAGACCTCACAAGAGCCTGTAACCTGGACTCGAAGAGCCGACTCCGGCATCAAGCCGACCAGCAACATGTTCACTGGCTGGAGGATTCCTCGCGGAATCAGCAAAATTTCAACGTTGTGGTCATTCCTGGTTCAAAAAAATTACATGAAACACGCTTGAATGGAACACACCTACGCTGTGAAGTTGTAACGTTTCACATGACACATCTATCACACATGTCTTAGAAAACTGCTGCTGACGCTTGCAACAAAAGCATTGATGTTGACGCTGGCTCTGGTACAAAGTTGAGGCAAGGTCGTAGTCGTGGGATCCCAATCGGAGCATCGCGATGTACGACTCAGGATGAGGGTCCTAGGAAGCCAACAGAATCTGTTTGACAAAAATGCTGTCCTTTTAATTATATACAGAAATATGTCAGTGCCTCCTGGATGCTTTGGAACCCTCACCACCGTCAAGACCGTCGAGGGTATTTCAGTGATTTTCAGAGCGGGGCCTGTGGCTGCCCTGGATGGAAGTGCAGGAACAGCTCACCCAATCCGGCACTTGCAAAAGGCTGCGTTTTGAAGCTTAGGAACGCTTTTGGTTGGTAAAACACATGACCCACATGCCATTCGGAGCTATTGCGCAACGCTTCCACGCTCACGTTTCTTCACATTTTCTGACCCCCCTTAGCTCCAGAGGCACGCTGGTTGGCTGACCGCTTTTGCGTGACGTGCAGTTCGTAGTTGCGTGGCTTGCTGTCGCCACACAGGGGCTAACAGCACTTCCTTGGTTGAACTTCTCATCGCCGATTTTCACTTGTCTCCCACAGCTCTTCCGTAAAAGTGGAAACGAATGTTTCTCTCAAATCGCCCCCGGACTTCGTGATGCGCAACAGACGTTGGACCACCAAATGCGAACCTGGTGCATTTCATGGCACCGTGGGCTGCTAAACAGCCTCTGTAGGGTCCAGGGCGTTCTCAAACCATCGGTGGGCCTTCCTTTGGACTCCTCTTCTTCAAGGTCTACCTCCTCCATCTCCTCTGGTGGATCTGGTCGCCTTCTCACTGGGCCATACTCAACTCCAGCTGCAGCCCTTGCGGCGTGTGGTGCTGCATGGCGAGATGGTGGCAGGAATTGATCCACCTGATCGCGCGCTGAAGTCGTGGGTTCTGACTCAACCGCATGGTGACTGCTCTCTGTCACTTCGCAAGTAGCTTCTGCTGGCGGCTGCAGCTAGCTCTGGCGCTGCGTCGGGCGCCAAATGAACTTCCATATCAGTTGGACCAGCTGGCGGCGCTGGTGCGGCTGAGGCTTTTGCATGGTCACAGACCTAGGAGCGGGTGGATGGCTGTCCTGCACAATTGGACGTGAAGGTTCCTTCATGCGTCGTTCCATCTCATCGCCCGAGGGCTGATGGGAATACGCAGTCATTGATGCAGGTCTGACTGCCTTTTCCTACCCCTCCAACATGCAGTGGATTGTCACGAAGCGAACGGAAGAATCTCCTTACCAGCTCGGCGGAGGAATGGGATGGCCTGCTTCAACCATTCTGAACCTACCAGGTTTCCGTATAAGCCAAGATCAACGAGGAGACCGCAGCCTTCTGTCAGGGCTGCTGCATGAAAGCTCTCTTCTCTGCGCACTGGCTGTGGCACCAAGCATACGACAGTGCTCCTGCACCTTGCTCGGAAGTTTGAAATTATCCTGGGTGTTTCCAGCTCATCACCGTGCTCACTTGGCACTGGCGCGGTCACAGCGGCTGCTAATCTCGCGGCAGTCTCCTCATCCTCTGTAGGGAGGTCCAGTGGCGCACATGATAGTGATGGTGTCGCTGGAGGTTCCGTTGGTGCTTCAGATCTTGCGGTTGGGATAGCATAGACCCATGCGCTTACAACTACTGCATCCGAGCGGCAGTTGGGACGCTGTATTGCATTGCCTTCGGATTCAGCGCGCTGCATCATCTCACTGAAGCACAGGCTGCGGAGCATGTGTCCACACTCAAACCTCAAGATCTCTTCACCTTGGTTGAAGGTCTGCTGGCATATGGTGCACTGGTTGCTGAACGGACGAACTTCATCCCAAGGTCGTGTCTGCGGCCGTGACCTCTCAGCTTGAGCGGACCTTGCTGCATCGACTTCGGCGAAGAAGGATACCACTTCTGACGCTGTAGCTCTTGCGACTTGCTCAAGTTTGCGGCGCTTGAGGTGTTGATGTTCCAACAGGCCGTTGGAACCACACTGGCGGCTGCTTCGAACTGCTTGATGGTTCATTGGCGCTGCTTGATGCACTCTGCTGCATTGCTGCGGCGCGAACGGCCTCTTGGATGGCGCTCACTTGTGGAATCACCGGCAGTTGAACTTCCTCACGCTGAACCGCTGGTTTGTTCTGATCATATGGCATGAACCACAAGTTGGCGGTAAGCGCTGCGCGTTAAACTGCTGCGGCTGATTGTACTGCATTTGCTTGCCACCTATGCGCCACTGCATCCATGGATCACCGACTTGCATTGGCTGTGGTTGCCATGCTGCGTCTTGCGACCACCTCTTGATATCCCTGAGCCCCTGGATCTTGGCCATTGATCTCTGTTGGTCTGGTGTCAACTGATGGCCCTGACCGAAATCTGGCGTGGCTTGCTCAGCAGCTTGTGTGGGGCCTTGGTGTCTCAGGGCCAGTGACATTGGTCCAACTTGCGCTGGTCACATCACCTGACTGCAGTGGAGGTGCATTTGGTTCAACATTGGACCAACTAGCATTGTCGGCTTCACTTGGCGGGCCACTAGCGGCGGAAGCCTGCTCGAAGGTTGCGAAGTGCACTGAATTCTCTCTTGCGTGAACAGGTGTCTACTCGGACCTTGAACGCATCGGGCACGAAGGTGGTACATTGAACCGCAGATTGAGCAGCGCGTGATCTGGCCCTGCTTATCTTTGCGGTTGATCCTCCGGGGTTTGCCTTTGCCTTTGCCCTTGAAGTAATACTGTAGAATTTCGGGGGTGTTCAGGTAAGAGTTACGCTGCTTTGACTTGTTCTTACCTCTGCCTTTCCTTTTCCTACTGAGCACTCTGCGAAGAGTGCGAACAGGCTTGCCTGAGAAGCGTCTCCATCTCTTCTTGGCGCGCTGGTACTCGCCAAAGAGGTGCTGATCGGCTTCATCTTCTGCCAAGTGGAGGCCACCTGAGTCGGACGACGTGGCCGAATCGGTGTCACTGTTGTTACCCTCGGTGAGGGGGTATTATGCCCCATGCATTGGTCAAATCTTGGGCGTCCCATGAACCTGGTGCATGGTTCCAACTTGTATCTTGACCTGATGTTCCAAACTGCTCAGCATCATTGACATGGAAATGCTGGGCTTGACCTTGGCCTTGTCGGAGTGAGTGTACTCGCAATGTTCAGCGGTCGGCGTTCCACGATGTGACCTAAGCGACGGGCGTGGGCACACAACCTATAGTGCGACCTCATTGTCCGAATTTGGCAGTCGGTAGCCAAATGGCTGTGTCAAGGCTTGGAACTGCTCCGGGTTGCAGTTGCATGCTCGAAGCAGGAGGAGAGCTGCGGCTTCAGTGGACACCATTGCTCCACCTCCTGCCTGTCTTGCTCGACTGCGAACAATCTCGAACCTGGGTCCATCGATCGACTCACGCGGCCTACGGTGGAGAAAGGAGCTCTTGGGAAGCTCGGAGGCGAGTCTTATCATCAAGTGGCGCAAACCGTGATGCCAATCCTTGGCGGATATGTGAGACTGGACCCACCGGTACAGTTCCTGCGGCCGCAGGAACTGTGCACTACCATGGCGGCTTGCTGATGCGGTTGAAGCTCATTCAAGATGGTCCACAACAAATCCTGGCTCCAGGCCGTGAAGGACTGGGCGTGGCGGTGCCACCTTTCCAGGATACATGAGCAGGATTATACACACGATTGTCACTGGAATACTGCATGGACGAACCAAGCATTCGTGCGCACTGCATGGGTTGGTGCAACACTAACCCGTTTGGATGCTATTGCAGGCTCTTGCATGGATCTTGCCATGGCCTGTGTCACCTCAGCGCCGGACATGGACGGCGGTTCCGACACTGTTGCACGTCTTTGCCAACCTCAGGACCTGCGAACGCTTGTGCCTCATGTGCGAACAACTGCATTGCAAACACAACACGGCTATGGCCAACGCTTGCAATCTTGAAGCTCACACAAACTCGGCGGCTGTGGCGGCCAACTGTCACGCGCATCCTCGGCGCAGCCTTGCTGGAGAAGGCATGGATGGCAATGATCCTGATGGCAACAGCAAACAGCCATTGAAGCCCTGGGCACATGATGCAATCGTTGTGAAGTTGAAGCGGTCGAGCCACGGCGGCGGCCCTCATCAAAGCTATCGAACTGCTTGCACTGTTGGCCTGAGCGGCAATCATGTGGTCACGGCGAAAGGCATTTCTAATGGTTGTTGTAGTGGATGTGGCATTGGTAGTTCTTGTGGCATCGGTGGATGTGGTATTAAAGGTTTTGGTAATCGGCGCGCAAAGCCAGGGACAAAACCCGTCATCACTGACCGGCGTCAGGATGGTTGGCGTGGCGGCGCACGGAGGACAAAGACTAACCGAGCGCGAAAGTGACAAAGGACAAGGACAGACCGAATCGTCTGCGGGGGCATCGCCTGGACACGATGCGCTAGCCGGGCCGTGTGGCGAAAACGGGACAGAAAGACAGGGACACGGACCAAAACGATCGGCATGGCCTACCGAAGGGTGGTGTGGGGAGCCACCGGCATGCGAAAGGTGACGGGAGTCACCGGCAACGAAAGCATGGCCAAGTGGGCCATCACTAGCGCGAAGCGTGGTGCACAAGACCACGGCGGCGAAAGGCAGTAGTAGCTTCATCGCCCCGAACCAACACAGGGGCTCCGCTACCAACTCGAAACAAAGGTAGGATCCTAGAGTGCATGTGTGTGGGAAACCAGGCTCTATGCGCACCTTTTTGGGCTGCTGTGTTGTGTCACGACAAGTACCTGGGTCAACCCGACTTGAGCCAGACTCCGGTAGGTCAGGCACATACCGAGTATTAGGCCAACAAAAGCCATCAAGACCGGTCAAAAGTCAAGCTGTTGAAAACAAACCAGGACAAGCCAAAAGCCACCTAGGCCCAGTGTAGAGATGATGAACTTGCATCATTCGCATTTCCAACATCCAAATCCTTTAACACTTCGAGCGGATGAGACTATCAGGGGCACCGACAACTCCCTAATTCGCTGTAATTAAACGGCAATAGAGAAAGGGCATGAACCCAGAAAAACAATTCATACGTTCCGCTTGAACTACGGCATGGTGTGACACTGCAGGAATTCAACCACTTCTCAAGAGCAACAGCGCACCATCACCAACATATATATATATACATACAGTATATGAAATGAACACACTAGGTTGTCCAACAAAGCTCTTCTTTTTAGGCTCGTATCGCCGGCCTTTCGCTGACTGCAATTTCTCTTTCGCGAAATGTGTTTTTACATATTTCATCTAAATTCCTCTACTGGCAATATCGGACGGCCCTCTGACATGTTACACAAGTACATGAAGCTTGGATATGCTTAAAACAGTTAAGAGCAATTCGGAATAATTTGCGAGTACACAGCAGCTGAGAGCTTAGCAGACGTTGAAAGGAGAACACCAAGCGCATCTTGATCCAACCTAAGCTGCACATGGTCCCAGAGGGCAGCTGGCTAAGTCTGTGTAGCCGCACGGATGGCAGCGCAAAGATTGGACATACTCCTCCGTCGGATGATGTGACCTGGAAGTATGCACAGGCAACGAATTCCAAAGCTAAACTGGTTTGAGTGAGGACTTCCACATTTGAACCCCACGATCTGCTTCACATTACTCTTCAAACTTTGCTTAAGGTATCTCAGAAAAGCACTGCCCCACGGCCATCGTTCCTCTGCTTAAACCTTGTGCGTCCGCGGACGTCATTCAAGAGTGTGTTTTTCAAGTGTGGCTGCTCTGAGCTGATTCAATTCACATAAGCACACACCAGGCTGTGAAAGGGGGTCTTATCTTACCCAGTGCCAGAATAGGGTCAGCATGCTGCACTCACCTCGCATAAGTCTGTGGCCACACAAACTAACAAAGAGGAATCAGAAAAGCTGTACCCCAAACAATGAGAGTGTCTTGTTTGTCATAGAAACTCTCATAGTGAAGGTATTGATAGGAGCATGCTGCAAACAATCAAATTGCGGACCATGATTACCAGGCCAGAAGAGAACAAAATTGCAAGAAATGTTGAAGAAAGCACACCCTGAAGAGATTGGACAAAGAGTAGTTTTGCAGCTCCTTCATCAACCATAAGGCGATCAGGTCACTACTGGGGCCTAGGGTGTGGAAACCACCGCTGTTCGAAGCACCAAAAGTGATGTGGTCCCATGCTTTCGATTGATACTAGTAGCTACTAGTAGTAAGAATGCTACTAGTAGTGATGCCAGAAGCCCCTAGCAGCGTCCTTGCTCCTAGTAGTAAGGCCAGGAGCTACTAGTAGCTTCTTGTTCCTAGTAGTAAAACTGGCTATTGCCACAACTCGAACCAAAGCTGAAGGACTGGTTTAGTGTATTCTCAAGGTACACAAGTAGTTACAGTACTCAAATGCATAGGCAAGCAAAACCATGCTCCCAAGCACAAAGGAGTCGAAAGCAGCGCCTGCCACTTGGGAAGCCTGCGACCGCATGCTGCGGCCACAAACCTTCCAAAACAAGGGGTGTGAGCCGCAAGCACCAGCTCCAAATCTTTGAGAAGTAACAAATACGCAATGCTGAGCAATAGGAGGAAAGGCTGAAATGTGACTTCAAGCAACAAGAGCTTTTGCATTTCAGATTGAGAGCTTCTGCCTCTGCAAAGTGCCGGCGTGCGACAAGGCTCCCCCTACCGCAAAGAATTCTGGGCCAAGCGGAAAATCACAACATTTAGTTTGGTCGTGAGTCCTTCGATTTGTGTTACCACAGGCATCAGCGCTTTCCAATCCATGTGACTACATGAACAGCGCAAGCCAAGGACTGGACTTGAAATCAATATGCCCCAAATGGTAATGAGGATGCGCCTGCACACCAATCACACAAATACAGGTGTAGCGTTTACGAACAGCCTAAACACCGGGCCCGCTGGATCACCACCCGGACCCCCACCCTGACGAAAATGCCGGTCTTAGAGCCGCATGTCTAAAGTCTAAGCTCAAAGCTGCAGAGCAAATACGGAGAAGACTCTCATTTGTTGCAGCGGTTGCAACCTGCAAAGCAATCAATACATATCAAATCAGAAAGCAAACATCGAAACATACAAAAATACTGCATGAAAAATACTGTTTGGCAAATGACAACTTCATTGGGGTGTCACCATGTGGACAAGTATCGCGTCAAGGGATTCATCGACTCCACATGATAGTGTCGCTAGCGATTGAGTTCCTCCACGCAAGCAAAACCATCAGCTGACTTGCTCCCCAAATGAGAGGGGCTGGCTCAAAAGCCGGTGTCACTCTTACTTGTTGGACCAACCTCCTGTGTTCCTTCGTGTCTTTATCCTCTTCTTCCTCCTCTTCTTCTTCTTCTTGTTCTTCCTTCGGACTGCAACAGCACCGACCCGTGGTTGATCGCCCACACTCTCTTGCAAAAGAGCAGGTGTCCTTGCGTTCTGAACACTGCGGTTCAAATATCGACTGTTCTTTGGCAAGTGATTGCGCCGAACTCCAACCTTATCCTCCCAATTGGTTTTGTTGCGTCGAAAATTAGTGACATTAAGCCAAGCATGTGTCACTCCTTTTGCAAGCATCAGCAAGAGTACGTTTGGGTTGAGTTCCGAGACTACAGCGATCCCAGCGAACTCGGCGCGTCTGGATATTGTTGTTGGTCATTGGCTATATGGGCAACACATTCGCATGTTGGTTTCCACATCATGACCTTTTCTGGCAATAAAGCCACGTTGTCCAGCCTGAATGTGTTTTACTCTATTTATGTGCCCAAGGTTAAACTACATGTCACGCAGTGATACGTAAACCAGGTTCTAGTTCTTAGTAGCCGATGTGCGGAGGCAACTGCGTTTGTTGCCGCGTGATTTATATAAACCATCTTCACAAACAAAGCTGAGCAAACTGCCAAACCCCCACTGGTCAAATACATGGCACGACGGTAGTTCCTTGGCGGAGCCACTGGCGTGTTTGTGCAAAATGATCTTACACGAGAAATCACATCATCATATGTATCTGAGGCTCACACGTTGCACTGTGTGTATTTGGAAGGGGGTATCTAGTTCCAATTCCATCATCACTGCTCGCCTGCACAGCTGGTGACTGCGAAGTCTTAGGTTTTGTGTTTGGGGGTCCAGTCTAAGGAGTCTAAGGTTTTTGCCAAGGTAAATTGTTGCAAATAAGAATCCTCAGCCAGCACAAACATGCGGCAGCATACACGAACCCACATGCAGAATCGGGTGGCACCGCTGAGGCCAGAACAACCCCTGAGCATAAAATATGCCTGTCGTCCTCTCCAACATGCAACTTTCTCTTGCCAGGCATTTCGTTGCAAGAAATTGCAACTGAACAAAAATGTTTCCGCGCTTGGCATTGTCTCATACTCTTCTTTGTCGCGCTGCCCGTAATACATTTCTCTTTTGAAAAGGGTCACCATCATACTCTGTGTGGGAAATGCGGTTGTGAATTGCTACATTCGATCTAAGCACCCATTGTTGTCTAGGTCGACCTACACGTCGTTTACCAATGTGGATTGGTTCAGCACTATCTGGTTGATATGCGACTTGTCTGAGAGGGTTGGAGTTTCCCGCGCGTAGAATGCGCGCTGCCAATTTTGTTTGTTTTTCATCCAATTCTTGTGAAAAAGGTTTCAATTGTCTGTGCGGTTGATCTGGGAACGCTGTTTGCGAAGCGAGTTCATATACCCTCGAATTTGTATTGCGCCTACGATCGCCTACGTGCTTACGTGCTTGGTAAATATTGAATTCGCCATAATCCCCGTAAATAACGGAATGCATCCACCTTTTTGCGTAAAGACTGAGTTTCGATGCTGTGCAATAAATTGTTCCTGACTACAACGTCATAAATCAGGAGCTGCCATTTCTTGTGGTGGGGTCCTTCCAAAACAGGGATAATCTATTCCATGCATGCTTTGTCCTGAATTCTTTGTGAAATTGTTCTACTGAGGTCTACAGTGTAGTTCAAAGTATGTCCTAAGTAAGTAGCCCCCTGGGCAATGTTCAGAGGGGTGTAATCCTCAAAGTGTATGTTAGCAGCACAGTTCATGGTGATGGCGTGGCACTTGGCTCTATTGATGCACAAACCACAATGTTCTGAGCAGTCGTCCATATGCTTGAAAAATTTACTAAGACCTCGTGGTGTCGAACTCAACGCCAGGAATTTGTGAACCAAAAAATATGTCGAGAACATCCGGGTCTTACATCATCGTCAACACAAGTCATCATTAACATAAACAACTAAATAAATAGATAAATAAATAAATACATAAAGAAAGAAAAATACAGACATACATACATACATACAGACGTACATACATACATACATACATACATACACACATACATAAACAAATAGTTAAATAAGTAAAAAGAAGCTTAAAGGGCACCCCTTACGGATTCCAGTTTTGTGCGTCTTGAGTTTGGATGTGCCATACTCATTTGGAATAAAGAAACTTGGTGCTAGATACAGAGCATTGACAATCTGTACAAAGCGCGTAGATATCCCAAGCCTGGTATATGAGTCAAACAGCTTACAATGATGCACACTGTCAAAGGCCGTATCCCAATCAATAAGAGCCATATACAGTTCTGCCCCCTTCTGCTCTGACCAGTCTTGCAGTCTACGTATGCGTGGGCTGTTGACCGGTTTGGTCGGAAGCCGTATCGCGTCACCGTTAGTTTGTGGTCCACAGCTTGCTGTATTCGATCCCTTATTAATGATACAAAAAGCATTGTAAGTAGAATTTAGTTTAACAACGAAATTGGACGGTAGTTTGCTGGGTCATACATATTACCGTTCTTGTAAAGTGGTACCACTCTAGGTGTCAAGGGGTCGGAAGGTATGCTGCCGCTGGTCTACCAATCATCAGACCACCAAGCGATGCCTATTTACTACATGAAGCCAATTGTACAATTCCATGACTATTTGGTCGGGGCCTGGTTGCTTTCGTAGCTTTGTTTTTTAACACTTCATGTAGCTCCTGATTAGTGAAAATTGAGTTATTGCGCGAAATTGTTCCCCCAATCTTGTTTTGTGAAGGGAGTGGGCCCCGCCCATGATCGTTGGACTAATGCTTCCCTTCCAACTAAGGCGAGATAATTTCAGTACGCTGCTTCAGCGGGACTAGTCTACCATGTCGCGAATTGCGCGTGCTGATATAGGTGATATAAGCAGGATTGCAATGGTTTTTGACTCGCTCGGGTCTTGCTGAAACTGGTTCGCTATGCGCTGCTTCCTGTCTGCTCTTTCGTGACTCCCTGTCGAGTAAAGGGCCTGCCTTTGGTGGATAACCTCCCACGCGTTCCTAGACATGTAATCTTGGATAGTCTGGCGGCACTCTTTTGGCAAACATTGATCTGCAGCTCTGCAAATAGCTTGGTTGGAATTCTTCCATGATTGATCTGTGTTTGACGTTGGTGTGAACACAGCTGACACAGACTCATTAAATCGTCGCCACTGGCTTTGGCTAGGTTTCAAGTATTTGAGAATAAAGCTACGGTTCCGCAATGCGGCGGCAAGACAAAACTACATTACGACAAAATGGTCCGTGTTCAAACATAAATCAGTACGGGTTTGTACATCGGCGCAACGGCGGCGATGCTTCTGCCTTGTTAAGAAAAAGTCCAAACGCGCATACTTTTCAGCGGTATAATCAGCACCCCCGGTTGGAGTGGTGTTTCCCCGGAGCATTGCTTGTTTTGATGAAGGTTTCTGAAAATCGGTAAGCAAAACACGTGGCGAATTGGCGGTGCAAATAGGTCCCGGTTCTCCCTGGTCGCCTGCGCCACTCCTGCCAAGTACCTCTTCCGAAAATAAAGTCCCAAACCTTCAAGTTCATTGTCATATTCTGTGTTGCAGTCTAGCGTGAAAATCACCCCTCGGCCTCGGCGCATTCCGTCAAAAGCTTTTCTACGGATTCTACGGATTCATAAAAGGCCTCTTTCAAGTCGGTCCCATGTCCGCTGTGTGGCGCATAAAGCAGCATTAAAAAATTCACGTTGGCTCCCCGCGATCTTGACCTCAACGCCATCACTTGTCCACTCAGATGTTTATTTCGTATAAGTATGGTCTGAACCTGGCGCGCATAATTACACCCGCGCATTCTCTATACGATTTCCACGGCTGAGTACCACTGCTAAAGCAAGAGCTGTATACATCGTGGGCTTCAACACTGGATGAAATCACCTGGGCCTCAGTTAGAAGAAGAATACCCAACCCCTCATCTTTCATGACCTTGGTTATGACCTGTCGCTTGGTTACGCCGCTCTCCCCATTTAGCCCTCTGATGTTAAGAGCGCAAGTTTTAAGTGGCATGCTGCAAGTCAATTTATGTCCTCTATTCTTGTGCAATTCTTGACTGGGGTCGAATTGTTGAAATACTCACAGCGATTTAGATTCTTCTCGGCTTGCCAAGCTTCCTGAGCGTTTCGGGGCTTTTTCTGCTTCCCACGCACTCGCTTAAAATATTTCCACAATCTGCGTCTAACTGCGCGTGTCTGATTCCCTTTCTTGGGTTTTCCCTTTATATAAATCTGGGCGGGAAGCTTTGGGTGTATTTCCACTCTTTGCAGAAGAAGCTCTGCAAAGGTCCCGCCACACCACTTGACGGCATGAATCAATATTTCTAGCCATCGGTTTGTTTCTATTATTGGCCCTTTGGTTTCTGGTTTGTACCGGAGGTATCTTCAAAGCTGATACGACCAGTTCCTCTTTGCCTAAATCCTTCTCACCGGTTTCCTTATCACCTACTTCCTTCGTCTCTAACTCCTTCTTTTTTTGATTGCTTGTCACTTGTCATTCATCCGGTCATTGATTTCGTCTGCTCACCGTCTCTCATGGTGTAGTACTCTTCGTTTCCGCTAAGCGCCGTGAACTTGAGCGCGCAGGCGTACTTGCTGTAAGCGGGGTATCTGGTTTTGCCGTTGGCTTCCGACCATCCTTGTGACCAGTTGTCGTTGATGATGTCAAAATAGTCTCGGCGAATGTGGAGGTACATGTACTTTAAAAGACTGTGTTGTCTGCGACTCGGACTGCCAGCTTGTCCTGCCATTTCACTGCCACCTTATTCCAGGAGTTTGCGAGCTCGCCGCTGGGGTTCGTTGTCGCGATGCGCAAGGCGGCCTCGATGGTCACGCCCCTCTCCATGTCGCCGGTTTGTCACGCGAAGGTAATTCGATGTGGTCGGTTTCCATAGTGCACTGGGTGTTTCGCCCACTCGTCTGTCCAGTGTATGATGGTGATGGGTAGGTTTGCGTCGCCCACACACGTATCGTCCATGTGTGGTCGTGAACTGGCTTGCCACTCCAGCTTTTGAGTGTACCAACTGATGACTCCATCTCGTTCTGCCTCGCTAAACTCTTTCGGCCAGCCTCAGGTAACTGTCTGTTTTGCTGCTTCTTTCTTCTGTTGCGCGAACCGTGTTTCGCGCAGTCAGGATGTCTGCATCTTCTATGTTGCGTCGGAGGTGTGGTTTGCTTTTCCAGCTCCTGTACACTTTGCTGGTCATCATTTGTTGCTGCATCTCTTGTACATATGGTGCTGGGTTGGCCATGGACTGCTTCATTGTGTCCATTGTCTGTCTGGCCTCCTGCGTTTGGTGTTCCAGTTGTTTGCTGATTTCCTCCATCTCCGCCGGGATGGATGACTGTTTCTTGGCGGTGTACAGAGTTGCTGCTTGCGTGGGTCTTTCTAATGAAACCAACTGTTGCTTCCATCTGGCTTCTTTGCCTGTCTGCCTTTCTTTGCTGTAAAAGGTCGCGTATGACTCGACGATGAATTCGATTCTGCTGGAAAGGGCTCTTTTCATATTTCTTCTCCCTCTTCTCCTGTCCTTCAACGCTGCTCTTCTCTTGTCTCCTTTGGATGTCTTCGTTGGCTTGTCAGCGTCTTGTCTGCATTCTGCCGCTTCTTGGGATCATCCACGTCCATATCAACATCCTCCTCTTCATGGCTCATTGCTCCGCCTTGTTGGGGAACTACCCTTTGAAGGGCCTTGTTTGTTTGAGCCCCCAACATCCAACTGCCACTGCTGTCTACACTGCTTTGCGCAAACATTGGCAGCGCCGCGCCGAGAACCAAACTTTGAACTCAATAGTTCCAACCGTTTCCAAGAAACACAGCGACGGGTTCTTCTGAGAAGTCGATGCGTGCACTCGCGCTAGCGAACGTGCTGGCGCAAACTCGCCCTCAAACGAGGTTGCCTTCACGTTAATCCTAAAGCTTGCGTTTTTTGTAGCTTTCAATGTGAGATCAGTGGTGAAATTTGTAAGTTC